AGGTTGCAGTTGATAAAGTCTCTTTTGGAATTAAATAAGGAGAAGTTTTTACTTTATTGGGAGTTAATGGTGCTGGGAAAACTACTACTTTTAAATTTTATCAGGAGAAATACAACCTACAAGTGGAGAATGTCATATAGCAGGATATTCAGTTTAGACATAATTAGAATAGGCTAGAATGAATATAGGATATTGTCCTTAATTTGATGCTTTATTAGAAAATCTTACAGCAAGGGAGCATTTGAACTTATATGCATCTATTAAAGGTATTCCTAAATCTATAAGAGCAGAGTTAGTTTAAAAAAAATTAGAAGAAATGGACTTACTTAAATTCGAAGGATATTGCGCTGGTACTTTTTCTGGAGGAAACAAGAGAAAATTATCTGTAGCTATTGCTATGATTGGAAACCCTTCAATTATATTTTTAGATGAACCTTCTACTGGAATGGACCCTGCTGCTAGATAATTTATGTGGAAAGTAATTAAAAGAATATCTACTGTAAATAAACATTCTTCCATTATCTTAACAACTCATTCAATGGAAGAAGCTGAGCAATTATCTTCTAAAATGGCTATTTAAGTAGATGGATAATTAAAATGTTTAGGTACTATTTAATAAATTAAGCATAAGTTTGGTAAAGGATATGAAGTAGAAGTTAAAATTAAAAAGCCTTCAGTTGAGCATAAAAGCTCTTTATGTTAAAAAACAGGATTATAATAAAATGATAAAATATTAATTAATGATTTACCCAATATTTTAAGTAAATTGAATGCTATGGATTTATAATATTTGATTTCTGAAGATCAATCAGGATCTGTTATTTATAAAGTAAAATTTTATAAAATTAAATTAAGATAAAATATATAAAAATATTTAATTTAATAAAATATTTTAATTTAATTTAATTTAATTTAATTTAATTTAATTTAATTTAATTTAAAATAAATTAATAATTATAAATAATAGGAATTAAATAGTTAAAAAGGTATTACTTTTGAAAATCTATATGAATTTATATATTTTGAAAAATAAGGAATTTAAATCAAGAAATTTTTAGAAAAGGTTAATTTAATTATTATTTTCTTTCTTTTTTTTATTTAAAATATTAGGAATTTGGAAATATTGAAGTTATAGAACATCTCGAAGATTTTTTTAGATTTAGAATAGAATCAATAATAAGTATTGGTAAAATTTTTGGTTGTTTTGAAAAAAATAAAGAATAATTAAAAATATCTGAATATTCTTTGAAACAAGCTACAATAGAATAAATATTTAATTAATTTGCATAAGGAAAAATTAATATTAATAAACATATAAAAAATAAAATAACTAATAATTAGGTTTAAGAAATGGAAAATTTTGATTAAAATTGAAAATAAATATATTAATATATTTATATATTTATATATTTATATATATTTATATATATTTATAATTTTTTTTTTATTTATTTTTAATTTAAATTTAAACTTTTAGATATAAAATATTATAATTAATTTTTCATTAAATTTATTATTTTTTTATTTGTAAATATATTTATATTTTTTTTTAATTTAATTTCTAATATTTTATATTATAAATCTATATAAGCATTTTATTTACTACTCATTTAAATTTATTTTACAAATAAATATTATCTAATTTTTTTTTATTTATAAACTTTTTTGATATTTTAATATATTAATACATTATATATATTTTAAATGAAAATTTTTGTTTTAATAAATTAACAGATATTCTAAAAAGAATGAATAAATTAATAAGATCTTATATGATTTTTAAAACAATTTTATTTAATTATTACAATATAAAAACAATAATACAAGAAAAACAATTAAAAATATTTTATTCTGTATATCCCTGCACAAATACAAGATTACATATTTATCTATAATTTCAGATAGAGGCAGAAGTAATGATATTTCAATTTTTAGAATATTATTATGTTCAATTGATATTAAAATTAATTTTAAATAATAAGTAATGGCAAATCAATTTAAAAAATAATAATAAAATAAGTTAAAGTAAATATATATATATATATATATATATATATATATATATATATATATATATATATATATATATTATATATATATTTATAAAATACATGTTTTTTTAATAATATGAAAATACTCTTTTATAATGATAGTAATATAATTAGATAAAGTAATTTTTATATTTTTATTTATGTTTAATATTGGATATATAATAATTTAATTATTCAGTTAATATTTGAGACTTTCTTTAGTATTTTTTTCTTTATATGCCGCGGTTAATTAAAATCTTTTTTATTATTAAGTTGAAATTATTATAAAACAATGAAAATAAATAATTTTCAGATATAAAAGTCCTTTTTTCCTTTTTATGTCTATATATTTTATTTATATCTCTATGCTTATTCTTTTTTAAATATTTTTTTTGACATATATAATTAAATAATATATAATTTATTATTATATTTTATTGTGTTTTTTTTTTAATAATTAGTTTATAGTTTTTATTTTATTTATTTTTAAAAATACTTATTTTTATTATATTCCTTTGCACTATGCGTTAATTATTAATTCGATATAAAAAAATGATATTTATTTAACTATTTAATAATTATACTTTTTCTTTAATTATTTAATTGACCTAAAAATTAATCTTTTAATTTAAACTAAATTATTTAAATAAATTTAATAAAGTATGAGTTACTTGATGAGTAATAGGAAATATTTTTGGGAATAATTCAAATATGTAATACAATTTTTATTTTTAATTTATTTTTTTCGCTTTTAAAAAAATAAAGAAATAACAATTATTTTTTTTTAAAATAAATATTTTATGTAAAAGAGTTAAAAAATTCTAAATATTGATTTTTTTCAATTAAGTTTTTTTAAATTGTTTTGATTTTTATGACTTAAAAAAAATAAAAGAATCTAATGAATTTTTACTATTACACTTAATAAAAAATAGCCCATAATTTACACAGCTTTAAATATTTTAAAAGCAATCAGTTATTTTTAATATATAATCTCCTTCTTTTGGGTTTTTTATATTAAATAAATTTATTTTTATCTTTCATCATACATTATAAACTCTTTTAAAATTAAATATAAAAAATTAAATTTTTATTCTGATAATTATTTATTCTCTGGCATAACAGCCTTTTAAAATATATATTATTAAATTTCTTAATTTATTATTAATTTTAAATTATTGTCTTTTTAAGAAAAAAAAAAAATAATCAGGTAAACTTTATTCCTTTTTTTTTTTAATTTTAAATTCTAATAGCTTTTACTTTATTAAATAAATTGATTATTATCAATTAAGTTAAAGATTTTCGAATGAATTATTATCTAGATTAATTATTTTTGTTTTTCTTATAAATTTATTTGGCTTTTATTATTATTAAAAGTAATAATTCCGTTTTTTTAAGTTAACTCTTTTTGTGAAATATTGCTTTAAATTTGATTGCTTGCTTTTATTCTTTAGTTTTATCCAAAAAATTTATTATTATTATTATTTATAATATTTTATTTTTATTCTATTTTATTATTATATGTTTCTTTATTATTTTTTTATAAAAAATTCACTTTAGACATATATTTGTAAAAAATAAAAATAAAATATTTTTTCTCTTGTATCTTAATAAAATAAAAATAACAATTTAAGTAAGTTTAAAAAAAAAACTAATATCCTTTTAGGTGATGTTTAATAATATTTTTATAATTTTTTTAAGATTTCTAGATAAAAAGGGAAACGTTCCTAGATTCATTTCAGTAAAATAAATAAAAAACTTTTAAAAATTAGATTAGGTTGCCATGATATAAATAAATTTGATTTAAAAATATATATTCGATTAACTTTTTATTTAAATGGTTGATTAAAAATAAAATTTACTTAAAAATAATTATAAAGCCAATGTGGTTAATTAATAGAATCTAAAAATTACCTCGAAACTATTAGCTTATTTAAAATATATTTTATTGAAAACCGAATAGTGAAGTCTTTGTCAAGTAAAAAGAATATATAAATTTCAGAATAGTAATTGTTGTTTTTATATTTTTATAATACAAATAATAAAAATTTAAATTTAAAAGATAAATAAAATTATTAAAAGTTAAAATAATTAAAAAGAAAAAGGAATATTTAAATTAAGATAAGATAATAAAGAAAATATTAGTTAAAAATAATAGTAATATCATTGAAATTAAAATAAAAAAATTTAAAGGAAAAAAAAAAAAAAAGTATAGAATATAAAAATAAAAAATAGTTTAAAATATTTAATAAAATTAACTTAATAAAATAAATGAGTTTAAAATAACAATAATAAAATAATAATATTTCATTAAAATAAAAAAAATTAATAATATAAAAAAAGAATATAATATGATAAAATAAAATTATATATATAAATATATATATAAAATTGAAATAATATCAATTATTATTAATATATAATAATCTAATGTAAAAACTTTAATTAAAATAATTTATATATTAATTTAAAATATATAAATATTTCAATAAAAATTATATGAGAATTAGTTTAATTATAAGAAAATGAAAAAAATAATTAGTTATAAAGAAATAATTAAATATTAATATAATAATAAATTAAAAATTAAAAAAATAAAAAAAAAATTATGGATTTAAGTTGATATTATATTTTATTTTTATTTAAAGAAATAAAAATTATATTAATATAGAAAATTAGTTAAATATGTATTTATTTTAAAAATATAAAAAATTAAATTTTCTAGTTTATATATATATTTTAAATAAAATTTTCAAAAAAAAAAATATAAAAAAGTAAAAAATTGAAAAATATGTATAAAAATTTTATATATATATATATATAAATATATATATATATATATTTTTTATATACAATATATATTATATTTATTTTTTATTAAAATTCATAAGATAAGCTTCTATTTATAACATAAAAATTAAATAAAAATAATTTTAATTTATTTTTTTATTCATATAAAATTTTAATTATCGTGTTATATTTATAAATTAAAAAAAAATCTTACGTATTTTTTTTAATTTTAACTTATTTAAAAAAAAGCAAAAATTTAAATAAATAAAATATTTATGGAAATTATCAAGCATTTTTTTTATTTTTTTACAAAATCACAAACTGAAGAATTTATAAATAAATTATCCTAATAGATTGTTTAATAGATTAAAAATCAGCAAGTATTTGACCTTGACCTATTATAAATAATAATTGAAATTTTACTAGAAGATAAATATGAGGATATTTAATATTTAGGTGAAGGCGCATTTGGATTAGTTTTGAAAGCTTTTAACAATAATATATTAAGAAAAGTTGCTTTGAAAATATTAAAGGCAGACCCTAGAGTAGAAACATAAATAAAAGTTTTCTAAAAAGAAGCTCATAATTTATAAAAATGCAAATCAGAATGTGTAGTTGAGTTTATTTCTTCAAAATAGGTAATAAAAGGAAATAAGAAATTTTATTTTATAGAAACAGAACTATGTGAAGGTATATTTATTCTTTAATTAAAAATAAAATAAATAATATACATTAAAGAATCGTTAAATGATTTGTTTAAAAAATTAAAAAACCAAAATAAAGTATTAAGATTAGACATGATGGTAAAAATTGCAATTAATATTTTAGATGGAATTAATTTTATTCATTAATAAAATATGATACATAGAGATCTTAAAGCTTCCAATATATTATTTAAAGATGGAAATGTTAAAATATGTAAAAAAAAAAAATAACAAATATATATATATATATATATATAATATAATAAAGCTGATTTCGGATTAACAAGAGAATTTAATGGAAACTGCTTATCTTCTTTTGTAAAATTAATTAAATTATATATGAATTATTAAAAAAATAATATAAAAGGCAGGTACTCCTTGTTTTATTGCACCAGAAGTACATAATAAGTCTTATAAATAATCAGTTAATATTTTTATTTTTTAAATATACATATATATGATTTATTTAAAAAATTAAAAATATAATTAATAGGCTGATTTATTTTCAATAGGGATAATATTTTTAATGTTAAGTAATCATTAAAAATTTGATTATGAAAATATAGAATCTCGATTATATAATTATTATTATACTCATTTTATAAACGGATAAGTTCCTTAAAATTTAGGATTTGACGAAGATAATTATATTTTTTAATTGGGAAAAATAATGATTTAAAAAAACCCAAATTTGCGTTTGACAGCAGAAATTCATTTAAAATAATTAATTGAATTTGCAGAAAAAAATTAAATTATATTACCCAAAATTCATTCTATGAAAAGTATATAAAATTCACAAAAAACAGGATACAAACATTCTTTTTTTAAGCAATTTTTATATAATCCTATCAATAATCCTATATAAAATTGTATGGGAATACATAAATTATTAAATAATCTGTTACATTTTTCAAGCAGAAAAATAATAGTATATATATATATATATATATATATATATATATATATATATATATGTTATTTATTTTATTATTTAAGATATTGAAAAAGTAAAATCAGCTGAAACTTATACTAGTTAAGAAGTAACAGAACGTATTTTTTGATTTTATTTTTTATGATTTTTATATATTTATAAAGATGAATATACAAACTTTACTTTAAATTCATATAATTCTGATGATGATAGAAAAATAAAAAGTATATATAGTAATAATTCTTGTTTTATTTTTGAATGGTCTAGGTTTTTTATTTTTTTAAAAAATATTTTTTTTAAAATAAAAATAAAGTTCAGCAAATTGTAATGATGATGTTTTATTTTAAAATTAAGTGAAATTACATAAATAAATGAAATTATTTTAAATTGCAGGTAGTATACTATTTTTATTTTCTATTTTTTAAAAAATAATAGATAAAATAAAAATTTTACCGACAATCTTTTTTTAATAATTTAAAATTTTTTTAAGAAAAATTAATAAATTGAAAATATAAGCTTTGATTTTTAGTAAAAAACAAAATATTTTTTTATATATAAATATTTAAATCGAAAAAAAAGTTATAATAAAATATTTACTGATTTATCCCTAGAATATTTATCAGAAGGAATATAAGATATTAAAAATTTAGTAAAGTTTAATCTAGATTTTTAGTATATATATAAATATAATATTTAAATATAAAAATAATAATAATAATAAAAAGTTATAATAAAAATTTTACAGATAAAGGATTAGAATGTCTAGCAAAAGCTTTTTAAAAACATTAATAAATTACTCATTTTAGATTAAATTTTTAGTAAATATTAAATATAAAATTTTATTTTTAAATTTTAATTTTTAGTTATAATAAAAACTTTACTGATTAAGGATTAGAAAAAATAATAATTTAGTTAAAAAAATTTACTAATTTAAATACTTTAAAACTTAATTTTTAGTAAAATAATATTTTAAGTTTAAAAAATATAAAATATATTAATAGATTAAATACTAATTTTAGTGATAATAATATTATTATGTTAGCTTCAGCTATAAGTAATTGTTAATAATTAAAAATTTTGAGATTAAAATTTAGGTTTATTATTAAATTTTTATTATATTAATAAAAACATAAATAAAATTAGTTATACTAAAAATTTTACTGATATAGGATTAATAAAATTAGCTGATAGTTTAAAATGTGTTTAATAAATATAAGAATTAAATCTAGACTTTTATGCGAATGAAAATTTTCAAAATAAAGGTTTAGATAAGTTGATTTAAAGTTTATAATGTTTAAATTAACTAAATACTTTAAATTTAGATTTTTAGTAAATCTATATAATATTTAAATTTATTTTTTATAAATATAAAAATATATGAATAGTCGTTGTTAAAATTTCAGTGATTATATTTTAAAGAAATTAGCTAAAAGTGTAAAAGACATGAGATAATTAACAAATATAAATTTAGAGTTTTATAAAAAAGAAATGATTATGAGTGTAATAAATAAAGATAAATGAATATATTGTTAATTTATAAAATAATATTTAAATACATTTTTTTCTTTAAAATATTATATTAATTGTAATTATACCATTTCAAGTTTAATAAATTTAAAAAAAAAAAAAAAAAGTAAGGAAAAATTTATATATTAAAACGTATTTTATTATTAATTAAAATTGAAAAAAAAAAACAAAAAACAAAAAAAATTAAAATTTAAAAAAAAATATTATATTATATATAATATATATATATATACTAAATAAATTTAAAAAATTATTATTATAAATACTAAATTATATATATAAAGTTAACAAATGCAATAAAATACACTTCATATTTAATTAAATGGAAATTAATTATTTTAAAACAACTAATTTAATAATTTATTAGTAAAACCAATTTAAATCTAATAAAAGTCAAAATCGATATTAACTAAACGAATTGGTATATATAAATATTTATATATTATTAGAAGTTTACTAATAATAATAATAAAAAAAAAAGAATAAAAATATATAAAAGAACTTAGTTATATTGATTAAAATAAATAAGATTAGAAAATATAAAAGCAAGTAACATAAAAAATAATATCAAATTCGAAAAAAGAATATGAAGAAAAAAAAAAACAATCATATTAAAATATATAGTTTAAAGAAATAAGCAATTTTTCGCCAAATAATAAATAGATTTTACCTCCTATATAAGAATTATATAATTAAATAAATATAAATGATAATTTAATCGAAAAGAATTTAATTTTAAGGAATTAAAAGGAAAACTATATTATAAAGAAAGCTAATTTTAATACTTATTTAGAAAAAAACAAATAGAAAATAAATAAAAATGAAATTTAAAAGATTCAGTTGTATTTTCGATATAAATAAAGTACATTAATATCTACTTTAGGAAAAAAATTATAATATTATGAGTTTTTAAAAGACATGAAAAACACTAAAGATTTTTATTCTAAAGTTATTTATTATGATAGTGTAAAATTAAAAAAAAAAATTAAATAATAAAATAAAGGTAAATTCAAAAAATAATAATAATAATGATGAAATAATAAATAAATTAATAAAAATAGTAAATACAAAAGCAAAATATAAATATAAAGAGAAAATAGATTTCACACGCTCTCGATTTATGAAAACTTTGGGCTTTGATTTTAGATTTATAATGTAATAAATAAGGGAAAATTAACAAAATGATGCCGAATATAACGATTTGGAAGACGAGAACGATCGAGAACAGGAAAAATAATAGCAAGCAAATACTAATAATTAAAGGAAAGAGTTAATATCCCCAGAAATAATTGCAAATTGGAAAAAAATAAGGGGATATCCTCCAAATTAAAAAGTATATATAATTTTAGGGCAATATTAGGACTTAAGAAATTATTTGAATTCCGAAGGATGGATAGAAAACGAGAATTAGGAAAGCTTAATTTTTGATTTAAAATGGGTAACAAAAATGAAAGATGTGGACCATGTATAATTATTAGATTAATAAATAACGAATCATTTCGAAAAAAACTTCAATTTAACATCGAAAAATGGTCTTGCGAAGAATTTAAGAAATTTAATTCAATCCGAAAATATAGACTTTGATGTTTTCTACCCAAGATGCTTTGATTTAGGAGATGTATAGGAATTTGAAGACTTTGTGGAAGAATTTAAGTTTTCTCACGCCGAAAGCGTGGTTAAATAATTTGTTTAAGAAAATAAAAATAGTTAAACTGAATTTAATTAATTTTAGTTAATATAGGTGTTAGTTGCTGTTTATTCTTTAATTAAAAAAACTAAATCAATTCTTTAAAAAATAAATGAAATTGTATATATATATACATATATATATATTAATATATATATATTATATATTTATATATTTATTTATTATTATTTTTTATATTATTATTACATATATTAATAATATAAATTAATCATTTTTTTATATTAATTAAATTAGAAAAATAATTAAGTTCCTATTATTTCTGCCGAAGAATGGAAAATTATAAATTATTAATGCGATTATGTTTATATAAGAAAAAATTAAGACCTTTGTTTTAAAATATTTTAAAAAATATAAGAAGAATTAGGAATTACTTAAGAAAATATACTTGAAGAATGTCATAAATAACTAGAAAATCTGAAAAATTACGATATATAAACACAACTAAACAATAAAAATATGTGGATTGTCAAACCTGCTGGACTTTCCAGAGGAAGAGGCATTCGAACTTTTTAATAACTAGAACCACTTCTTAATTACGTTATTGGAAAAAATGTTAATTGGGTAGCTTAGAAGTATATGGAAAATCCTTTAACCATAAATAAAAAAAAAGTATAAATTAAATATATGTAATTTTTTATTTTTAAATTAATATTATTTATAAATGTAACATAATTTTATAATATATACATATATATATTATAAGTTTGATATTAGATAATGGGCTTTAGTAAGTGAATGGAATCCTTTATAAATATTTTTTTATGATGAATGCTATATTAGATTATGTTTTGAAGATTATACAGCAGATAATTTAGAAAATAAATTTGTTCATTTAGCAAATAATTGCATTTCTAAGTAGGCTGAAGGATTTTAAGAAAAAGTAAATGAAACTATGATGTGTTTAGACGATTTTATAGAATATATAAAAGTATTTAAAAAAACTTTTTTTAAAAAAATAAAAATTATTAATTTTTTTATAAGAAACAAGAAAATGGGAGGGATTTCTATAATGAAAAAATAAAAAAATAAATGCAAAATATTGTAATTAACTCTATAAAAAGTTGCAAAGATACAATGATTAATCGAAAAAATTCATTTGAAATTTACGGATATGATTTTATGGTTGATGAAAATTATAATGTTTGGCTTCTAGAAGTTAATTCAAGTCCTTCAATGGAGCATTCTACTGTATATATAGATAATTATATTTAGAATATATAAAAATATATATTAATTTATATAAATTTTGTTTTTATTTTTTTATTATAAATTTAAGAATGTTACAGCTAAAATTGTTAAAAAATGTTTAGAAGATACTGGAAAAATTGTTTAATAATATTTCATAGAATCAGATAAAAAATTAAAAAAGACTAAAACTTTGGATAATGGAGAATTATACATAAAGAATAAAAATGATAATTTTTTTTAGCCTTTTTTTTTTTTTTTTTTTTTAATCTATTTCTAATTTTTAATTTTTTTTATTTTTTTTTTTTTTTTTCTTTTTTATTTTTAATTTTTTTTTTTATTATATATATTTATTTTTATTTTTCATTTTATTTTTATTTTTAAAAAAAATAATACTTAATATACACGCTTACGTTTTTTAATAAATTACATATTTTTAAAGGTAACGAAAAATAAAAGAATACTTAAAAATTACTTACATATTTTATTTTTTTTAATTAATATATTTTTTTTTTTTATCTATTTTTTTTTTTTTATTTTCTATTTTTTTTTTTTTTTATTTTTCGCCATTTTTCATTTTAATATAAATAATTTTATGATTTATATATTGAAATTTAATAAAACAATGCATTTTTTAGTATTCTTAAGAAAATATATATCAAAGTTTATTAAATTTACTAAAAAGTTTAAAATATTACATTACATAATATCAATTTTTGAACAAAAATATAAATAAAAAACAACATATATAAAATAATTTTAATTCTATTATATTAATATATTTAATTATAACTAAAGTAAAAAATATTTTTTTAATTAAACGTAAGAGATAATATAAAAAAATATAAATTTCGTAAATATATATGAAATGAAATCTTGTCATAAAAAAAATATTATTATTTTTCTTTAATATTAAAAAAAAAATTATAAATTTTAAATGAAATATACTTTTTAAGATATTTTTAATTGGTTTATCCTTAATTTTTTTTACAAAAATTTAATAAAACTATAAATAATATATATATTAAAAAAAAAAAAAAAAAAAAAAAAAAATTGTTATTTTTTTTTAATTATAAAATAAATAAATATAAATATATATATATATATATATATATATATATATATATATATATATATATATATATATATTATTTTTTTAAAATAAATAATATAATAACACTTAAACATATTAAAATAAAAATCATTATGCGTTTTATTCCATTTACCTTTGTAATCTCAATTCAATAACTGGACAATTTTTATTATATCCAATATAGTCGTTCTAAAACAGCGTTTTAAACTATCCCTAAAAAGTGGGTGCTCCTGTAAAAAGCTCTCCTTTTTATTTATACACTAAAGCTTTATCATTTGGTTTAATTCCTTAATAAAACTACTAGCTAGTAGATAAACCCTAGAAAGGAATTCCCCCTTTACAAGTCTATGTATAATTATTACCAGCAGGCTCTGCCTTTGGGCCTTATAGTCCTTTATAATTTCTATTATAACTCGTACTTCCATTAAAAGGCAAACCATCAATAGTAGTTTTCTAATGGGATCCTTTTATTGGTATATAGGAAGTTCCCCATCCCAAATAGTCTCTTTTGTATTATGATCTTCCTAAAGATTAAGGATCATTATCAAGTATATATGGGGGTTTACAGCTTTGGCTGTTTCCGTAAGATTCTTTGGTAGGCTTTGTGTAATCAGCCCTATTTATGGTTAAAATATCAAGATGTTAAGGGTTTCCGTGTTAATCATCATATATTTTTGGGTTGAATTTTATGTTCTAGAGTGTCTTTTTGGGGTCATAATCGTGTGTGTAAATGGATTAGGCAGGAGTTTATTTAAATGGCTATTATAAATGAGAGATTTTGGCGAAATTACACAAATGTTTACCGCATGTACATATATAACACCAACAAAGACCTTTTTATATATATAAATACATTATTAAAATTTTATTATATATTTAAAATTAACCTTAAATATGCCTGTAATATTATTCATTTAAACTTATGAAATTTGAAACAGTAGATTCCATCTGTTTTTATTTAAGTTTACATTCTTAGTATTTAGATTTAGATTGTTAATGTTATTATTATTCTTATTATTATTGTTGCGAATATAATTATTATTATTTTGAATTTTATTAAGTATTATTTATTTCTTCAAAATAATTATTAACTTTTTAGCCATTATGTTAGTGTAGTATACTTTTAACTTTTAAATTATTTTCTTCTGTATTTTATCGTAATTAGATAGATTAATTGTCTGTGTTTTTATAAGTATTACTTTTATGGAAATTAGGAATTGTTTTGTCTTTTAAATACTTTATTTAATATTCACTTTCGAAAGCATTTGCACGGTGATGAAGAGGATTTTCAATGTTGCTTTTTTTGTCTATAGCTCTTATTAGTCTATATGAAGTTTTAGGATGGGGTATAGTATTGTTTTGACGGTGTTTATTTATATAAAAATTTGTTTAAGATTTATTAGTTCTAAGAGCTGTATTATTAATTTAACTCATACTCATTTTTTTTTTTTTTAATTTTTTTTTTATTTTTAATTTTATTTTTATTTCTATTTTATTTTTAATATATATTATCTTACATATATTTTTTTTTTTTTATTATAACTAATTAATTAAAATAAAATAAAATAAAATTTAAATAAATATATTATTTAATTTATTATTTATTTTTGTATTTATTTGTTGTGTATTTTTTTTTTAAAAAAAAATCTATTGATACATGTAGAAAAATATATTATCTTTATAAAAAATTAATTTTTATTTTTAAAAACATATAATTTATATATTATATATATATATTATTAATATTTTAGTTTATTAAAAATTATAATAAAAGAATTTCCTTTTATCAGAATCTTTAAGAAATTATTGATAAATCATATTTTTATCTAATCTTCTTTATTTCATTACATTTTTCTTATAAGTTTTCAATATTTATTTATTTTTTCATATAATTGTTTTCATTGTTATTTTTAATATTATAAAGACTTATAATATTATTGTTTTTATTTTAGAAATCAGTATTATTATTTTATTAAGAATTTATATTTTCAATATTTTATTAAATTTTGTTTTCTTAATTATTATGTTAGCATTATATCAATTTAACTTTTTTTGTTTTTTTTTTATATTTTTTTTGTTTAAAAAAAAAAAAAAGATAAATTAAATAAATATAAAATAATTTAACAAACAAATCAAAAAATACTTGGAGGTAAATTTGAAAGAAATAATGTATAACAATCATTTTATTTTTGAACTTCCTTTATGAAATCTAACTTTTAATTTTCAATTTGATAATTTTAAATTAATTCAGTTTTACTATCGGAATCTTTTTATGAATCTACTTTTTTTTTATTTATATTTTTTTTTTAAAAAAATAGATATATCTTTTTATATCTTTTTTATTATTTTTACTTTTTAAAATTAAAATATTTTAATTATCTTATTTATTAATATGATTTTATAACAAGCTATTTTAATTTGCAACTCTTTCTTAATTTTTATTATTTTACTTTCTATATGTTTTTATTTAAATCTAAAATTATTATTAATATTTTCATTTTACTTTTGCTTTTTTAATAAATTTGTTTATGAGCTTGTTTAAGTTTTTAAATTATTTTAAATTTCATTGCTTTAAGTTTCATTATTAAATTCTTTATCAAAATGCTCTATATTTTCTTTTGGATACTATTTAAATATATAATAATAATATATATAAAATTAATAAAAAAATACTTTATTTTATTCGAATTCTTAAGCTGTTTTTAAAAATATATTTAATAATCCGCACTTTTTTAATAAAATTGAAAATATAAATAAAGATTATTTGTAAAAAATAAATATATATATATATAAATAAATTATTTATATACATAAGGATTATTCTTTTTTTATTTTTTAGTGTTTTCCTTTTAATGTTTTTTTTTATTTTTTAATTTGTTTTTTTTTAAACTAAATTTTGTTTAATTTTAATTTGGGGACAGCGGATTTAAAATAATTTCTTCGGATTTTTTTTTCTAACTTCCTTTGATTTTATTTAATAAATTATTTTGTTTCTATTAAGGAGCAATATCAGTATAAAATTCTTATGTATATTTCTTTAAATAATATATATAATTTTTTTTTATTTTTTATTTTTTACTGGCTTTTATCTATTTTTTCTTATTTAATATCCACCTTTGTTTTAATTTTTGACATTATTTTATTAATTATTTTCTATCAATTCTATTTTATTTTTGAATAATTTAAATATTTTTTTTTTTAAGAAAAAAAAAAAAAAAAAATTATTTTAAATTATATATACATTCAATTCTATTATAAACTATTATTATTTTATTTTTTTGTAATATATTACCTTATTCGATCTATTCAGGTGTTTTTTACTATAAATTTATCTCATTTTCATTGTTTTACTTTAAATCATCTTTCTTTATTTGTTCCAGTTAAAAGCTTTTTTTGTTTCCTCGAAAAACATTACTTTATTTTTCTTCAACATTATTTTACCCAAGCCTTGTTCTTATTTCCTATTTTAAATGAAATTATTTGACATACAAACACATATAAAATATAATCATATAAAAAGATTATTTATTGTAAATTATACATGTATATATATATATATATATATATATATATATATTATGTGTTTTTTTTTTTTACTAGATTATCTTTAAAGTAATAGGTATTTCGAATGATAGTCCTTCCACTTTTAGTCGATTTTTATTCTTTTTTGGCTTTTTTATTATATATATATTGTATTTATAAAAACCTTAGGGAGTTTAAATTTGTTGAGTATCTATTTGCATTTTTACTTTTTTTTTTTGATTTTTTGTTTTGTTTTGTTTTTTTTTGTTTTTTTGATGTTTAGTATTTTTTTTTTTTTTAAGTTTTTTTTTTATTTTATTTTTATTAATTTTAATTAATTTGCTTTTTTGGTTTTTAATCTATCACTTTTAAACATGAAAAAATAGCTAACAATAATTATTCTTTTAATTTTAGTATTAATATTGAAATTTTAAATAAACGTTAATAATTTTTAATATAAAATAAAAATGTTATTGTTTATTTTTATGAAAAAAATAAATAAATTAAATTTATGAAAAAAAAAAAAATGAAATAATAATAATATTTTTTTAATTGAAAATACTAAAAAGTTCTTGCTAAATTTTTTAAAAATATTTCATAAAACTAAAATTATTTTATAATAAAATTATAAAATAAATAATTATTTAAAATTTAAGATTTATTATAAACTAATTTTTTGGAAATTAATTTTTATTAAAAAAATATAAATTCTCTTTTTATTTATTTTTTAATAATATATATTTTTATAAATTTTAAATTTAATTAACTTTTATTATAATAATTAAAACAAAAAAATAATCATTTTATTATTAATTGGTATTAAACCAATCATAAAATAACTTTTTTAATTTTGATATTACTATTTTCAGTATTAATTATTTAAAACAAAGGCCTTTTTTTACATAAAGTCTTAAAATTTCACTAATTTATTATCAATTGGTTACATAAAACATCTATTTTTCTCAATTTTTTAATATATTTTATTCTTTTTAATACTTTCAAAATACAAAGTATTGATCTTATTAATATTTTTTAAATTTTCATTTTAAATAATATATAACTATTATTTTAGCTCTAATATAGCATTATTATTTATAAAAATACTGATTTAGAAATATTTTTTTCCTATTAATTTTTTATTTATTTGTGATTTTTATATTTATTTGATTGCTGCTAAATACCTTATGAAATTTCAATTTATCTTATCTAATTATTTTCACTTTTTTTTGTAATTATTTTCTATATAAATAAATATATCCAGTCATTTCATAATAATATATTTATTATTAACAAAAATATATTTTTTTTATATTTTAACTCCATAGCGATTTTCCATTATTACATAATCTTGTGGATTATGGAGCAGAGAAAACGGAAAAATTTTATAGAATTTCATATTCCTTTCCTTTTTTTTCATTATCTATTTAAATTTTAATGTTTATTATATTGCTTTTTATATATTTTTAATGAAAGGTTGTTATATTATATGATTTTTTTATTTAATTAATTTTATTAAACTTTTAATTAACTATTTATAATTATATTGAAAACGCCTATAATAAAATAGAAACATAATACAGAGAAATAAATAGAAATTAATCTTTTTAGTTTTTTTTTTTTAAAAAAATAAATAAATAATCATAAAATTAAATTAAATTTTTATTTAAATATTTTAATATTTATCTGTTTTCCCTTTAATATAATAATATATAATGAGAACTAAAATAAATACTATTATAAATATATAAAAATATTAACTATTTATTAAATAAAACTAACATTATATATATTAATCATATTTTAATTATAAAAGTAAATATATTCTTATTTTTTTTGTAGTTAAATTATTAATTTGACATATCTGTGTTTCAAAGAATCGAAAATTAAAATAAGTGAATATACATTTAATATATAAAAAATATTTAGAGAAATAAAATATTTGCTATTATAAAAAATGTTAATGAATATAATTTCAATAATATAATAAATATAGCAATTTAAAATAAGCTTTTTGAAAAATTAATTTTAACAATACTAAAGTACTGAATATTATCTTGAAATTATAAAAAGAGAAAAGAAACAAAAAATAAATAAAATTTTTTACAAATGATCATAAAAATATCCCCATATAAAAAATCGATAAAATAAATATATTATTAATGTTAGAAAATAATATAATTATATTAAAAATTGACTTTTGTAAAAATAATACTTATCTTTTATTCCAAAATATATATTTCTATATAGATTTTAAAAATAATAATTAAATAAATTCGCATTTATTTCATAAATATTATTTTAAACTTATATGTGGATATTACGGGTTAATTGTTTTGCTATTATTTTTCATTTTCTAATATTGTTTGTTTAGTTATTAATTTATATTTTCATGAATTTTCCTTATTAGAAAAATATTTATAGCTTTTTTATTGTTCTAAATAACTTAATAAATTTATTTTGATTTTATTAAATGTTTTATTAGTTATCATTATCAATACATACATAAGAAAAAATAAAAATAAATTAAAATATATAAAACAATATATAATTTTTTATTATATAATATATAATTCAAGTAATTTTATTTATATAATAAATAAATATAAAATTATTACATTTATTTAATTATTATTAAATATAAAAACATACAAAATTTTATATATATAAAGTTATAAGTTTTTATATTATAATAAAAATGCATATATTTACTTATAAATATAAAAAAAATAGAGTTTAATATACTTTAAAATTTAATTTAAATAAAAATATAAATATAATAATTTAGTTTTTATATTTTTTTATTTTATTTTTTTAAAAAATATATTATTCTTAATATTTTTGTTATATTAAAAAGATATACTTAAAGTATTAATTAAATTTAAAAAAAAAAATTAAGCAAAAAATAAAAATGCCACCAAAAAGAGTTATACCAGCAGCAACTTTAGTAAGCAGTAGTTAAAGCTAATCTTAAAACTCTAATACAACAAAAACTGCATAATAAAGGGAGAACGAAATATTAGAAAATGAGAAATTAGCTTTTTCTATAAATGATTAAAGATTAGCATTTAATATGACTCATATGAAATAACTTAGGACATATGGAGCATTAAATTCAGGTTTATTAACAGGTTTATTAGGTTTTAATGGTTTTTCTGGGATTATAATATATTTATTAATGTTTTTTATAATTTCATTTATTTTATTGACAAAAGTTAAGTATAATACAAAGGAATATTTTTTGGGATTATCTGATATTTTTTATACAGGAATGTTTGGAGATTTAATGGTTTTTATTGTTATGTGGGTTATTTCATAAAATTTAGTTCATATATTGTGAAAAGAAATAAAAAATTTAAATATTCATTTAATATAAATTAATGTTTTTATTGTTGTTTTTTTTTTTTATTTTCTGAGATATATATATTAATATATATAATTTTTTTTTAAATAAATATATTATCTTTTTATTTATATATTATAAAAAATAATAATATATAATTATATATTTATATTTTTATATATATATATTAAAAATATATATTTGTTTTATCAAAAAATAAATATATATTTTTTTTATTATATATTTAATCAAAACATTAATATAATATATATTTTATTATTAATTTAATTATAAACTGTAAAATTTATCAATATTTCATTTATTTATTAATTTTTTTTTTTCCTAAGAATAATTTTATTTAAATTTAGTTCATATTATATATTTTAATTTCTTTTTTTATTTAAAATAATAATTATTATTTTTACTTTTTTTAATCTTATAATCATTAATGACTATTTAATATTTATTATTGTAATCATAAATATATTAGTCGACTTCTTCGGCCTGTATATTCATTTTTTCCTTAAAAAAGTTATTAATGTTTTTCTTTTCGTTTACTACTTAATCATATATTTGTAAAATGTTTGGTAAAGATAAAGTAATTTATTTTTGATAAAACAACTGGTTCTATAGCTTTTTAGATTATTTCTTCTTCTTATTCCATATAATATAATCTTATATTGACTTTATTAGTAATAAATTATATTAATATTGATATTTTAATTGAATAGATCTATATTGAAAGACTATTTATGTAATCGGTTCTTTAGTTTTCCTTTTTATTTTTATCAAATTCAAATCCTGTATTATAAATTACTTATATTATTAACTTCTTATTGGAAAATAAATCAATTGAAATTCATTTTCTTTTACAGAAATATATAATTATTATCTAAATAAATGTGAATCATTTTTCCGAATCAAATTATTAATTCTGGACTTTTTTTTAAACCAGAAACTGTTTGCTTAGGTTTTCATTTTGAATCCCAAAATTATTAAAACTCCACTTTAGTTGATAAAAAAGCATAATAATCCTTTATTTATTAGCCAGTTTATGAATTAAATTGATATTAAAGAGTTTTCTATGCAATTGATTTATTCGCTTTTTTAAAAAAATATAAGACACCTCTTTTAGTGGATATTAATAGATGCTTAATATCTATATGTTTTTTTATTTTCATTGGATATAAATTGTTTTCATATTTAATTTTATTTAAATATAATAAATAAATTTTTATAGATATAGTATATTTATAATTTAAATTTCAATAAGTTTTATATAAATAGATATCGTTTTTAATTATTAATTTACATTTCTTATTATTTTGTTAAATCATATCAAAGACATGTTTATTTGCTTATTTAAATTTTAGTTTTTATTAAATTTTTTTCTTTCCTTCTTTCTATAATATTAAAAAAATTTCGCGAATAATATCGATTTATTTCAATTAAGATTTTATTTTTCACCCTGAAATTAAGAAAATAAATCGATATATAAATTATATTTTAAAAATGTTGGAATAAAAAATATTGTAAAATAAATCAAAAATATATAAAAATAAATCTTTTTATCTTATTAAAAAAAAGAATTTTTAAGTAAAATATCTAATAATATATATATATTAAAAACTTTTTAATAATGAAATGATAAATATAATAAATTTTAATTTTTTTTATTTTTAAAATATTTTATAAGTATTAATAAAAATTATAATAATTATTTTTACATTAGAATAAGAATAATATAAAAAAAGAAAAATTTCAAAATATTTTATTTAAAAAAAAATATTTTTTTAAATTATATTTAAATCTGAAATAAAGATAATATTAAGGATACAATTTTTTTTTTTTTATTAATAAATAATTTAATATAATTATATA